GGGTAACCTCGGTTGACTCAGTTCACTCAATTGTTAATAATCGAAGGCACATAATGCAAAGCGTACATGGTCGGACAGTTCCGTCACCGATATGCACGGTGGCCCATCTATAAAGTGACATAATATATAAGATCCACCTCTTATGGGGTCTCCTCCGTGGTCTAGTGGATGGAGCGTCTGCCCGGAGAGCGAATGGTCGTTGGTTCGATCCCCGGCCCCAAAAAGTTTAAAAGATGGCACTTGTTGTTACCGTGCCTCGCGCTCGGCATTAAGGGGCTAACACAAGGACTGGGTCGCAGTTCTATAATCTCCAAAATGAAAAAACAAAAGACAGCGAAAAAAGACACGTTATCAACAACAGCGCACTCATCATCCCAACCATCGCCTATGTGTCAACAACCATCGCCTACACCATCGTGTATCATCGTCACTATTATCATCAACATAAACATCACCTCAACCATTACTGTCACCATATTGTCGTGCTTATAATCACAACTATCATCCTCATCATCAGACCGCCTCCGTGGTCTTGTGGTAGAGCGTCAGCCCGGAAAGCGGAAGGTCCGGGGTTCGATCCCCGGCTGCGTCATGCCAAAAGAAGTTAAAAGATAGTATTTGTTGCTACCCTGCCTGGCGCTTAAGGGGCTAAAACAAGGACTGGTCGACTCGAGTCAGTATACAGTGTCTGAATGAGGGTATTAACGTTAAACTGCGAGCATGAACGTCGCTATATAATTGCAATAATCTTGAACGCGACGCTAAACCCCCATTTCACCTCGACTCATAATGTGTGATCCCGATGAACTAAATACGTGAATCCTATCCAATGACATTTAAGGTAAATGTTATCTTTCTGTTCAGTTTGTAAACGTTAGACATGACGTCAAAACTGACCTTGTGACGTCAGCGTCCGCCCGGAAAGCGAAAGGTCCCGGGTTCGATCCCCGACTGCGTCATACCAAAATACGTTAAAAGATAGTATTTGTTGTTACCCTGCCTGGCGCTTGAGGGGCTCAAACAAGGACTGGTCGTCTCGAGTCAGTATACACTGTCTGAGTGAGGGTATAACGTTAAACTGCGAGCATGAACGTCGCTATACACGCGAATCCTATCCAATGACGTCTCAGGTTAATCTTACTGTTCACTTTGTGAACGTTAGACATGACGTCAAAACTGACCTTGTGACGTTACGGAACATGTAAACTATGTAAACTATGTAAAACTACCAACATAATAAATATAACTCTGACTTCTATACAACATATACCTCAAACAAACCATAAACACGTTGAAGTTAGGTAGTCACATTAAAAGCCAGTTTGTATAACAACTATCAGAGACCGCCTCGCGGTCTAGGGGATAGAAGGTCTGAGAGCGGAAGGTTGGTATTGCGATCCCTGATCGCGCCATACCAAGAAAAATGTTCAAAGATGGTATTTGTTGTTACGGTGCCTGGAGCTAGGCATCATGGGGATAAAACAAAGACTGGTTGTCTCGAAGTCAGTATACCGAGTCTGAGTAGAATACCCATGTTAAACCGAGACATGGTATCTCAGTTGGCTAGCAGTATAAAACGGGCATTAGTCGGGACTAGTACAAGCAAACACACGAGCTCGCGAGCGCACAGACACATACATGTGCATGTTATTTAACTGCAATAATCTTGAACGCGACATTAAACACCATTTCACCTCACATAAGAACTATTTGTATTTTTGAATCACTATCCATAAAGAACGAAATTGCTCTTGTGTAATCGCAACGTGCTTAGATTAATGCAGCTTTCTGTGGGTACATGTTGTCAATTAAATCTACTTGATACGACTTTTCCATGCAACAGTTTTGAATGTTACTGTTGATATATTTCAGTACCTGTCTACAGGATTTTGACGAGAATGAAAGATGTGACTACTGAATATGGCTTAGCAGTCATTTTATATAAAATATGAGGTCATTCAAAAAGTGATATTTACGAATCTTCGGAGAATTTACAAACAACGAAATATATTATATCCATGTGAGGAAGTATGTTTTTATACATTGTTGCCAGTTAAGGGCCTCCTCACTTTTCATATTCTATATCACCGAATGATGTGTGGTAGTCTGGTGGTTCAAACGTTCCCCCATCACGCCAAAGACCCTGCTTCGATTCCCCAAGCCCATGTCTGGTGTGTCCAGTCGTACTATTGCTTGAATGATGCTAACAGCTGCGTAATGTCAAACTTCATTATTTTTACCACTGAAAAAAAGTGAGCTTCTGAACCGGTGGTTAATGTGTTTTGCTTTTTGTTGGTTTTTGTTGTTGTTGCTTTTTGTGTTCTTTTTGTTGTTAAACGCCGCACTCAGCAATATTCCAGCTATATGACGGCGGGCTGTAAATAATCGAGTCTGGACCGGACAATCCTGTGATTCACATCATGAGCATTTATCCACGCAATTGGGATACGATGACATGCATCAACCAAGTCAGCGAGGCAGACCACCCGCTCCCGTTAGTAGCCTCTTACGACAAGCACACTCGTCTTTCGCGACAAGCATGGGTTTCTGAAGACCTATTCTACCCCTGATCTCCAGGGTCGTAGTTAATGTAAATCAATGTTGGTCGCTACTGTTGTGACAGCGGCTACTAAATTTCATTGTCCTATTTTCATTGATATATTGCGCGTATATATTTCAAACCATTATATCCACTGAAAAGGAAACGTATTTTGTGACATATACATACTGATTTCTATTAATTGTTTATGAAAATAGAAACAATTCGGTGACAACTCAAGATACACTGACACGTTGAATACTTTAAATCACCCCAATAATTAGTAAATTTGGAAGTCGTACATTATTAACCTGTAGTCGGTGAGGTAAAATGAGGTTTATCTCCGCGTTCAAGATTATTGCACTGATATAGCGACCGGTGCATGCACGTGCACGTATTGGTCATGCCGATTTTATAAATCTAGCACACTGAGAAACCATGCCGCAGTTTAACATGAATACCCCACTCAGATACAGTATACTGACCCCGAGCCGACCAGTCCTTGTTTTAGCCCCTTAATGCCGAGCGCCAGACAGGGTAGCAACAAGTACCATCTTTTAACATCTTTTGGTATGACGCGGCCAGGGATCGAACCACGGACCTTCGTTCTCGAGGCGGACGCTCTACCACTAGACCACAGAGGCAGTCGAACCTGACCTCGACGGAAAAACCCCAAGTGTGTGATAACACGGGTTTGCTCTTTACATAATATACAGTCATTCTCCAACAATGGTCTTAGGCAGAGGGGGCGGTCGAGTAGCCAAGTGGTTAAAGCGTCCGCTTTCACGTCGAAGACCCCGGTTCGATTCCCGACATGGGTACAATGTGAAGCCCATTTCTGGTGTCGCCCGCCGTGATATTGCTGGAATATAGCTAAAAGCGGCGTAAAACCATACTCACTCACTCACTCACATTCAGTTAAGATGAATAGTAGTCATGTGAAGCGAAAATGTCCTTCCACTTGCTACGTCGCACGTCATTCTAAATGGATCGGGCGGTCAGGCTTCGTGACGTTATGACGTTATATGCATGTCATTGTACCCCTACAGCGTGTGACGTCGCACATAATATCAATTACTGGACTGTCTGGTCCAGACTCGATTATTTACAGGCTGCCTTCACATAGCTTGAATACTGCCGAATGTGGCGTTAAACAACAAGCAAACAAACCAACAGAACAAAACACTAATGTGGAAAAGAATTCTTTCTGCACCTCTTTGGTTTTTACCCAAACATGGCGTTATGGTGTTGAAAAAGCACCCAACTTAGCGTTAAAATGTCCTACTTGTGTGTAACGATAATGAATACCTATATACTCGCTCTGATGAAATAAAGTTTCAGATAAAGTAGTAGTGTGCAAAGTAAGGAAATTGATATACGTCGTCGGAGTTCGAATCAACACATTCACAGCCACTCGATGACGTTGAAAATATCACTAGATTATTACCTTTGACACAGTCATTCTTCACCACGCTTCAAAATATTTATTTTGTGGTGAGTTCATGTATCGTTTTTATGTTTATATATCTTAAATCACACATCACAATAATCAACAGTTGAAAATACATCGCAAAACGTGCATTGAGTTCTGAACAGCGAAAGCCGTCACACGTCTTGTTTAACTTGTCACCGCTTAGTCCATGTGTAGAGTCCTTTGAGCCCCTGTCTACACCAGAATCTGCGTTCGTTGTAGGAGAACTATTGACGTTAACACACTGCACTTCATAACTACCACATCTCCTAGACTGTGTTCAGGTAAAGTAATTCCCTAAATGTCACAGTTACACTCCCCAGCATGTTGAGAAGGCAGGGTGGAGGTTGAGAAGGCAGGGTGGAGGTGAGGAAGGCAGGGTGGAGGTGAGGAAAACAGGGTGGGGAAGGCAGGGTGGAGGTGTGGGAGGCAGAGTGGAGGTGGAGAAGGCAGGGTGAAGGTGTGGGAGGCAAGGTGGAGAAGGCACGGTGGAGGTGTGGGAGGCAAGGTGGAGGTGGAAAAGGCAGGGTGAAGGTGTGGGAGGCAAGGTGGAGAAGGCACGGTGGAGGTGTGGGAGGCAAGGTGGAGGTGGAAAAGGCAGGGTGAAGGTGTGGGAGGCAAGGTGGAGAAGGCACGGTGGAAATGTGAGAGGCAGGGTGGAGAAGGCAGGGTGGAGGTAAAGGAGGCAGCGTGAGGGTGGAGCAGGTAGGGTGGAGGTGTGGGAGGCAGGGTGGAGGTTTGGAAGGCAGGGTTGAGGTTGAGAAGGCAGGGTGATGGTGGAGAAGGCAGTGTGAAGAAGGAGAAGGCAGGGTTAGGGTAGGGAAGGCAGGTTAAAAATGGGGAAGGCAAGATGGAGGTGAGGATGGCAGGGTGAGGGTTGAGAAGGCAGTGTGGAGAAGGAGAAGGCAGGGTGAGGGTGGAGAAGGCAGTGTGGAGAAGGAGAAGGCAGGGTTAGGGTAGGGAAGGCAGGTTAAAAATGGGGAAGGCAAGATGGAGGTGAGGAAGGCAAGGTGGAGGTCTAGGAAGCAGGGTGACGATGAGGAAGGCACGGTTGGGGTGGGGAAGGCACTGTGAGGATGGAGAAGGCAGGTTGAGGGTGGAGCAGGCAGGTTGAAAAGGAGAAAGCAGGGTGGAGGTGGGAAGACAGGGTGGAGGTGGAGAAGGCAGGGTGGAGATGTTAAGTTAGGTTGGAGATGGGGAGGTCGGTTGGACATGGTTTGGAGACTATATTGAGATGGGGAGGACACAAACTGGAGATGGATCAAACAGTGTAAATGAGGGAGTGTCAGTGTAGAGACAGAGAAGACAGAATCGTGCAGGATGTGAAGATAGGGCGTGATGTTCTCACTGTTAAGTAAATATTAAAAAGGAGATTCATTGACTAATAAGTTATTTCATATACCAGAGTAGAATGCAGAAAAGATGTTCGGAAGGACGGGGTGGAGTAAGGAGCTGAGGAGAGGAAAGAGGAAGATAGCAGCGAGAAAGGGTCGAATTAGATAGGCGAGAACTACGTGTCTCTGAGAGTCAGATTACGCGATACAATACCAACAAATACTCCACACATTCACCATGCTTTATCTGCTTTGTCCGTCGAGCACACTGTGAGGGAACGATAGCGTCAGGCTGCCAGACAGATAGAGAGATCACAATGTCACTTTAAGTCAGGATTGCCAAGTCACAACAGTACAGGATATTTATCACATATATACAATACCTACTTTGATGGGCAGGACTTGTAACCGACACTCTGGTGCTAATCGGCTGGATAATGTGTCTTTAAATAAAGAATGATGCGACACCGACCCGTCAAACCTGTCATTTTCCATGGAATATCTTTTATACTCGAGTATTGAATTTGATTCTCAGGTAATAGGGAGTTTTAGCATGAACACTTTCTTTCGTATCTGTGTTATTAGACATATCCACATATATACTGATCTGTACAAAACTGCTAATTTGTTGAAATTAAAGCATGACAAATGCGAAGGTTCAGTTATATGAAGGGTGGTTTAGGACTGGCTTTTAGTGTGCTTCGGGATGGTTCGCATCGCAACCTTTCATGATCAGATTCTATAAGTGATCCTTTTGATATGCGTCTTCCTATCGCGCAAAAATGTTTTAAGTATTTGATACAATTAAAATGTAGCAATTATAGACTTTTGAAGAATTTGTGATTTAGAAAATATACCCAGGAATTTAATCTTCCTTAACGGGAATGCCAGTGGTATCTGTCGTCTCAATGCGCTGTGTAGAGTTGACCCGCTTATCCGCGTCAGGATCTGCTGATCGTCCCTCATTCCCTGATTCGTCCTGGTTATGTTTCTTAGTCCGCATAATATTCGTGCATTGAAACCATGGAACCAAAACCTGCGAGATGAGAGATGTGACCCCTATATTATGCTAACATACCGTGGCATAAATGAAATTGTGTTTAAGCGTCGATGAATCTATCCCACTCAACAATGATGGTTCGATGAAGGGTGTCTTTTGAACAACTGAATTAATTCATATTTTTCGACATTTTTAAATGCGAGTAGGCTTACTTTCTTGAACTAAGTCACTTACTGTAATCTTGTGACATCATTGCACTTTGAGTTACAATATTAGAGAAATGCCTTAATGTGTATGTTGTTACTCATTTGCAAAACAAATCGCACACAAATAATTGTTTAATCTTCAAGAAAGGGGTTTTATACGTGAGCAAAAGAAAGTATACATCCATTTTTGATGATGTAAGAATATAATCCAATTTTCAAATGTATACTTTCTTTTGTCCGTTAGGTTACCTGTTAGATGTATGGATACTCCGTTTAACAATAATATATACACGACGAAGGATTTTTCAATACCTCAAAATGTGATTTGTCGTGATAGTTTAACAAATTTGCCTCGCGTAGTAGAAACTACACCACCACGCTTCTGTTTTCATTTTGACAGTTTTAGTAATCATATAAATTTGTAAAATACCAATCTTAGAAACAGTTAAATTATTTGCGTGTTTATGTATTATATTATGCCCTGTTCTTAAAGATGTGGTTGATAAAAGATTGGAATTAAAACTGTTCGCCTGTAGACAATCTGTTTGCGAAAGAAACATCGCTGATGGCCACATTATCTATATGACCCAAAAAAACAAGTTTATGATTAACTGAATAGGTTTTCAGAAGTTAGAGCTTTTGTTTTTATGCCGTATATAAAAACAGGAGGAGACACATCGTTGATAATGTGTCTCATGATTGTTGCTGTGAGATGAAATATGAGAGTGGTTATGAATCCAATAGATTCCCATTAAATATAAACACGTCTAACTGAACAACCTTTTATATTCCCTTTCGAGAAAAAAATACTAAAAAAACCTGCTAGACTATTTTTTCAAGCGTATTTAAAATGAAACTTAATCTATGTCATATTTGGACCTAAATATATTTCTTTAATACAATACAATGGATAAAAAAACAGAAAGACTTTTTTTTCCCCTTCGAAATACGATACGCTTATATATTTTCAAAGTTAAGAACTTTTATAGCTTAGAAGTTTTGAGAGACGTTGTTTGGAAACATGTGCAATTGTGTTATATTATCTTACACACGTATTGTAATGGATTTTTCTTAATTCGACTGATTCTACATCTTCATGTTATTTCATAGTCTCCCTGCAAAAAAACAATCAAAAACTTTCATGTAAGAACACAGTAAAAAAGTATTTTTTAACAGCTACCAATGGTCTGATCATAAAATATTCAACTTCGATTTTGCAGATTGGTAATTTGCATACATTATTTCTCTTCGCTTATCAACACTCGGCACGTTCCCGATAAAGTCTTTCAAAGACATCTGTGGTCAAGTTATCTCGACAATTCGAAAAAGATTACGTATTATATATTAAAGCACACAACTTTATCATTGAAACGGTCGTGGTTTATCCATATCTTCGTGATTTAAAACGTAAAACATTCTTTGCGATAGATATGATAATGTGTTATCTACGTCGTTCTGCAGATAATGTGATCAATGTTTTATGGCTAACACAAATCAGTGTTAATAAACATTAATGAATGAACAAACCACATTCACAATTGGAATCTTGTATCAAAATATATATTCACAAAACGTCCTTGTAGTCGTCTTCTTTCCGTTTTCTCTTCTTTTGTTCCTTCTTTAATCGTGCTTCTACTTTTTCATGCTGTTTTAAGTCCCTTTAAACATTATTTAAGTTTGTCAGCTTGATGTTGAAGAAAATATACATTTAAATTTACAGTTGGATGTGATGCAGATCTTAGATGATAGGCTTCTGGCACACCTGAGGAACCTGACGACTGGAGAACTCAGTAGCACCGGTTTGGTGTTGATAAAAACCCTGGAAACATGATCAGGGAAAACATGGGATTTGAACACGTACATATGTTTCTGAACTCCACAACTCGAAAAAGATTACGTATTATACATTAAATCACACAACCATATCAATTGAAAAGGTCGTGGTTTATCCATATCTTCGTGATTTAAAACGTAAAACATTCTTTGCGATAGATATGACAATGTGTTATCTACGTGGTTCCGCAGATAATGTGATCAATGTTTTATGGCTAACACAAATCAGTGTTAATGAACATTAATGAATGAATAAACCACATCAACACTTCGAATCTTGTATTAAAATGTACATTCAAAATTCGTCCCTGTAGTATTCTTTCCGTTTTTCTCTTCTTTCGTTCCTTTTTTAATCGTGCTTCTTCTTTTCAGGGAAAACATGGGATTTGAACACGGACATAGGTTTCTGAACTATCTACAAAAATCTGAGCCAACTGGGCCACCAGTCCCCCTTTAAAGACAGCTGTGAGATGCTTTCTCCACAGGAGATACCTAAGAAATAGGAGGACATGTAAGGGATTTCTTAAAAAGATAAAGTATGCCTTATTTGTGTCTCTCTCAAACTTGCTTCAATCCGTGTCTCAATACTTGCCTGAAACAGGACAGTTTAGTTTATGGAAGACAATACAAAATGAGATGCGTTTCCACTTGACTAACATGTTGTCTCTGATACAGAAAAAAACAGTTTTTAAATGATCTTAATAAAAATATAAAAAAAAGGATCCCAGAGACTCTCTTCATTTTCAGATACTGCGAGACTCTAGACTTGCTAAAGATTATAGACTTGCATGGGAGTGAGTATGGTTTAAAGCCGCTTTCAGCAATATTCCAGCAATACCACGGATGGGGACACCAAAATTGACTTCACACGTTGTATCCATGTCGGGAATCGAACCCGGGCCTTCGGCGTGACGAGCGAACGCTTTAACCACTAGGCTACCCGTTCGCCCGACTTGCATGGGCTGTATTGGATATAATTTGTATTAGGGTCTGTATGACAGACTAAATTTCCACGTTGATTACCGCCACTGTTCCCTACAAATCAGCGTTCCCTCTAACGGTCGTGTTTTCGAGTACCCGATGAATAGACAATATTGCTAATTGTAATTCCCAAGTTCTACTCCATACTGCTATGAAGCTGCAGACTATTGTCTGCGGGGTTTAGAACACGGCTTTAAATTAGTGCCGACGAGTCAAATTAAGAACTACACTGCATTGCACATTGTCCCCGTAGCAGTATCAGGCAACCATGTTCTCCGCCGAGTCAGGAAATTGATTTCTAAACTACCTATTGATTTTAGAAAACTAAATGTTATTCTACCAACGACTTGAGGCAGGTCGAGTATGTACAAAACAATATCATCCTGGGAATGACGACTGTGGGGTGTGGTGGGTGGGGGTGTAACAACAGAATGAGATGAGGTTGCGTCTCTTGAGTCATAGCATCATACATTACTATAAACCCCCGGGCAAAACAAGTTTGTTTACTTAGATTTTCGCACCGCACCGCACCGCACCGCACCGCACCGCACCGCACCGCACCGCACCGCAACGCATCGCACCGCACCGCATCGCATCGCACCGCATCGCATCGCACCGCATCGCATTCCATTCCATTGTATGGTCAAAACGTAAATGCGAGAGAATACTCAGTCTCGATTTTTGGGCGTGAGAGAAAAAATAGTGGTTTCAAAATT